AATTAACTCTTTATATATATATATATATATATATATATATATATATATATATATATATATATATATATATATATATATATATATATATATATGTATTTATAAGTATAATATAGGTAGATAGATAAAAGCCCGTGTTCGGCTTAGGGCTGACACTGTATATGTACATGACGTAGTTAACCGTCAGAGTGTAGAGTAACCACAAGCGCACGTTAGCATACCAGCAAAGTCCATGTACCCCACAGACACCTGTAGTGTACCTGTAGGTCCATGCACCCCATAGACACCTGCAGCCTGCAGTGTACCTGTAGGTCCATGTACCCCACAGACACCTGTAGTGTACCTGTAGGTCCATGTACCCTACAGACACCTGTAGTACCTGTAGGTCCATGTACCCCACAGACACCTGTAGTGTACCTGTAGGTCCATGTACCCCACAGACACCTGCAGCCTGCTGTGTACCTGTAGGTTCATGTACCCCACAAACACCTGTAGTATACCTGTAGGTCCATGTACCCTACAGAAACATGTCGTGTACCTTTAGGTCAGGTAGACTCCCGACACCCGGACACTTCCGACTATGTCCAACAACTTGATATCAGTAGAAACATAAGGAACAGCAATCCAGAGTTTCTTTAGATATAGTTCTCCGGGAGGGGGTGTGGACTTAAAATATTCGGGGGGGGGGGGGGCACTGGCGAAAGTAAATATTTTCAATATTAATTATATATTTTTCTATTTCATCGGGGGGGGGGGGGGGGCGATGGACACACTATAAGGGTGGGGGGGGGGGGCGAAGAGATGCCTGACAGGAACTCCGGAGGAATATAAAGTTTGGGAAAAAAACACCTTTTAACCTAGCTATAACTTAACCACGTACACGAGTTGGCTCATCTAATGAATAACTGCCCTTTCCGAGTGCGCATGTATTGAAATCCTCTTTCACACTGATGATCGGCTTAATAAACCTTAAAATCATTTCGTTTTTGAACTTTATATAGACATGCCTTACATTTTTTTCCAAACACACACACTTACACAAACAAAAATCTCTGAAAAGGGGAAATTACTCTGAATTGCTAGCGCATTGTGAAATATCATAGTTAATTTTTTAAAGTGTACATTTCATAATCATCCATTATTGCTTGGATTTTATATTGCTTACAAACATGCTTTAAAACTTGATATATGTTTACATTTTGCGTCAAATTTGTGTATCCTTAACAAAGTAAAACATTTTTTAATGTTAAATTTCTTAAAATTTCTGCATTGGCGTCGCGTGGACAATTAAAATCGATTGGCAGATAACGCCTCTGTAGGCCTATATGTGTATTTCGTCTGACATAATAGTTCGTTTTAAGGGCTGGCTTAAAGACAAACAAAACTAGCATGATACCTTATATAACAAACTTTAAAATTGCAGTTGAAATTGGAACAATAATTAAAACTCTTACCCTAGATCTAGTTCCCAGAAAAATGCGCAGTTTGAAAACTGCGCAAAACAGAAAAATGCGCAAAAACAAACTAATTCTACTAATACACATTAATGTATTTATATTTCGTGGAGATATGTTTAATTATGCTACAATTTACGTGTAGCTACTCTTTGTTAATGTCTAGAAATGCTCGATGTAAGTTTTCCGTTGCGCAGTTTTCTATGTAACTTACTAGTATAGTGGGGGTGGGTGGGGGTCACCAAAACCTCAAGGGGGTGGGTGGGGGTCACCAAAACCTCAAGGGGGTGGGTGGGGGACACCAAAACTTCATGGGGGTGGGTGGGGGTCACCTAAACCGCATTGCTTGTTAAAGTGGGGGCGACGACTAATGCTGTACTAGATCCAAGCCAATTTACACTGTCTGTCTCTAGACTTTTTCTCTGGGGGAGGGGGGGAGGGGGGGTGGCTAAATTTTACAGGTTGGGGGAGAGGGGGAGGGCTAAATTTTACAGGTTGGGGGGAGAGGGGGCAGATGCTGTTAAAAGTATATATTCTCTATATAAATTCTATTTCCGTTTAGGAGATGGTGTGTGTGTGGGGGGGGGGGGGGCGCTGTACGTTCTTCGGGCAGGCAGTGCCTTTCCCCCAACCATGATAGAACACTCGGACCGTAGTATCAAAAAATAGTCAAAGATTTTCCTAGCCGATGTTTTTTACATCTCCTCGGCATATATTACCATACATGAAACTGTCCAACTCCAGTTTTAATTAAACAAATTAAAATCAAAATGAAATCCCATCTTATTTCTTTAAAAACCGATGTATTTAATTACAACTACTCGTATGTGGTCGAAATGACGTCATCCCGATATGACGTAAACCAAAGTATCAATGTATGTAACATTTTACATTCTATCGTAAGCTTACTTTCTAAAGGTTAGATTCGCGAAATGTCAGCACTCTTGTTTCTCTTTGGTTTCATTTAAATTAAACCATACCGTGTTTCATTTGTCAAAGTATTTATCAACAACGGGAATTTATTTCATGTTATTTTTTTTAACGACATAAAAATGATGCAGTATTTAATTACATTGTAAATTGAAAAAGCAAAATACAAAAAAAAAAATAAACTATTAAATTTTATGCTTGTGGTTTTAAAATAAGGTTGGTGATGTTTTTATAAAATCGTATTCAACTGAAGACAGGCCTGACTTGGTGTTAAAAATTACATGACTGTGGTCTGTCTGGTGTGACTGGTTGTGTAGTGGTAAAGCGTATGCTTGACAGGACATTTGAGTCACGGTATGGCGGGGAAAGATTTGGTGAGGGATGAAAGGGGGGTAGTGTTTCTTTCAGACATTTTTTTTCTCGGGGGGGGGGGGGGGCGGACTAAATATTCCGGGGGTGGGGTGGTGGCGGACACTGTTAAAAGTATCCATTTCGTTCGGGGGGTGGGAGGTAGGCGGTTTACTTTCTTTGGGGGGGGGGGGGGGCTCTGCCTGAAAGAAACTCTATAGTGTGGTTAACAATGGTTCCTTTTTTAATATAGATTTTTTTTCAGTTTCTTTTTTTTTTGAAGTGATGACTGAAAGAAACTAGTTTTGTGTGTAATAATCGGCTAGGTGCGCCACTATCTCGTTGTTTCTAAAACTACACACGGTGTTTCCTAACCTATTACAGACATTTTGAATCAAATTCAGAACAATTACCTTTTAAAGCAACTAAATGCTTTTATTTTGTGAAGTAGTTAAAGACTACGTCTGCAACTTTCGGGTGGTCTAGAGATGGCTTCATGAAGTTAACCCTCCCCCACCCCCAGAGGCGTAGCGACCCTTACCGGCGTCCGGGGACAAACTTGCAATTTGGTGCCGCCGCCCCCCCCCCCCCCCCCCCCCCGCCATATATTTTTTATATTTATAATGCAAAACAGCAGCTATAATGAGCTTTTATTTTTTTTTTCCCAAACCATTTTTGCGCCCCCTAGGGTCGGCGCCCGGGGCATATGTACCCCCCCCCCCCCCACCTCGCTACGCCTCTGATCCTTCCCCCCCACCCCGATTGTTACAATTTGTAAAAAAAAATCCTCACCCATTTCTAACATTGCCAGATTCAAGCTAAAATGACGTCACAATATTCTACTTCCTTCCCTCACCCAAATAAACACAATTCTATATCGCCATTAAAAAAAAAAAAAACTCTTTTAATTCAATAACCCACTTTTCTGTTATTTAGTTAGCCGTCTTGGTGTAAGAAACAAATAAAGATCGAACTCTCTTTTTATGCGATGCGATACTACTTGATCTAGAAGAAATAAAATGTAATCGACACACTGTAATCTGTCGACGGCCACCTGGAGCGTGGCGATTACGGAACATCCGTCCCTTAACGAGGCCGGTGTACTCTTCAAACGGAATCTAACGCAGGTGTCAAATTAAGAGAAACACTCTGCCAAAGAAATACATTTAAAAAAAACCGCTGTGTCCAAATGTAAATAGTTTCTCACTGTTTGGCTGTCCAGACACGCAGGAAGCAAGTCGTCGAAACAGCTGTGATTCGACCAGTCTTTCGAGCTAGAAAGGAAAATAAAGTTGGTTCGCCACGCCAGATTTTTCTGTGCAGTGCGACCATAAAGTTGGACCAGTTACAATATGTGTTACAGATTCTAGTTCGTTTGACCAATTCTAAATTTTATGCCTGTATTTTTTAAAATTGTTTTTTTTTATTAATCGAATAAAATTACAATAAAATAGGCCTAATAAAGAAAATAAATGTGTAGCAATACGAGCATATAATGCACAGGTTTTTATAAAGCTAAGTGTTCAAATAGAAGCATAATTTACAAGGTAAATACGCAACGCTTTATTATATATTTTAGTAACCAAATCATGTTTCTGACTATAGACTTATTGGACGTATGCTAATTATTATTACGTAAGCCTGTATATTTATTAGATAAAAAAAATCTATTAAATGTGAGTGGATTTCTTCAGGTAGAAACGTATTCATATTATTCTTATTATTTTACTATTATTTTTGACAGTATTTTATTCTTATGAATCTAAATATTAAAATAATGAATAATGTAAAGTGCCTCTTGTATAAATTGCTGTTTTTTTAAACATAATTTTGCTGACACCGGACTTCATATAACGCAATATTACGCCTATTATTTCAAATTTAGTTTAGGCTTATGGAAAATAACATACCAATAGTTCGTGCCTTCACTTTTAAAATAATGTTGTAAAATAATTAATTATTGGGCTAATTATTAGGCCTAATTAATATTTAGCCTATTTATTTGGCCCTAAAATACTTAAGCTTCATATACTTGGCATAAGCCCCGATAGAGAAAGAATTGATTTTTTTTAGACTTTTGATACGAAAGAATTAACCAGTTTTCATTCGTTTGAACAAATTAGGACAGAAGAGTTGAAAAAAAAATCTCCAGGCGAGCATTTACGTCATGAAGTTGACCTAGTTCAGACCCAGTGGATTCCAAAACATGACCTCGTACCCCCCAGCACATTTGAAACCGAGGCTCTCGAAACATGCGTAGCGAAAGAGGGCCAAACAAGATGGCGACCGACAGGGCTGGTGTAAAAGAGAAGGCAGGAATAGGGCCCGTAAAAGTCGGATATTACGAAATGGAACGAACTATCGGCAAGGGAAATTTTGCAGTTGTGAAGTTGGCAACACACAATGTTACAAAAACGAAGGTTTGTATGGTTTATTTTTATATTAGACCGATTTTTTAAAGCACAGAATGCTTATCGTCGGCTGCTGCCTACTGTCACTGTGTCACAGTTAGACAACGAGTTGTCGTTCGTTAGTTCTACTTGGAAAATCCACTGGTGTTTAGCCCATGTAAAAGAACACCAGGCTAATCTCGATTCTACTAGATCTAGTCTAGTTCTAGATTATGTATCCCCATGTCTACACAGTTTTGGTCCTTTTTGTAAAACATTTTCATGAATCCGCCTATTCTATGCAAACGTTTTTATTTCTATAGGCTAAAAATGTTAGGCCTAATAAGTGACATTCATTAGTTAGGCGATGAGATTCGTTTAGGGTTGCCAGTTAGGCAGGCCTAGAAATTTGGTTCTAGATTCTAGAGATCAAGTGTTCTAAGTACTTAGTACTAGAATCTAAGTTAATAAAAGTCAGATCTATAACCTTGCTCGATCCCCTAGATTCTATATTCTATTTCTTAATCGTTAGGCTTGGCCTAGATTATTCTAAAAAAATCTAGGGCCTTGTGTATCTAAATTATTTGTCTATATTAATAATTATTAGCTTAGGTCAAAATATTAGGTCTAACCTATTTTTTCATTTTCTTTAGGCCTAATAATTTAATAGGCCTAGGCCTAATTATTAACTAATTATAGGTTAATTAGCCTAGATCTGTTATAATGGCACAACCACGTTTGAAATGCCAAGCACCTCGATCATTTAATTCATTTATTAATATTTTTGTCGACATGGATAACAAACTAAAACTAATAATCGTTAGGCATATCAAATTTGCAAATGCAGAGAATTTGAAAATATATTTGAATTATTTGGCTGCTTTTAAGTGTTTTAAGGCTAAATTTCTTTTTATTTAGGCCTACATCAATGAGACATTTTATTTTAACCAGAAGTTTCACTTTAGTCACTTTGATTGGCTATTGGCCTTTTATCTGTAAACCTCACTAAAGCTTATAATAGTCATGCCTAAAAACTTTGTCCATAATATTAAAAGCACTAAATACATGAGACCTTTAGCAAACATACTAAAGTCCTACAAAATACACATATTATCTGTTTTAAAAAATAATTCAATGGCATCTCAAAACTTATACCTGTTGTGGGGACCCGTATAGGCTTAGGCCGACCAGGTCTAGCTCTAATTCTAGTTTATACCTAATTACTCAACAGTCACTAGAATCTTATTTCAATATATATATATATGATATATGGCCTAATATTATTAATTAGGCCTATACCAAAAAAATATAGACTCTAGTTCTAGTATGTGTACTTTAGTATATATGTAGACTGATAATAAGATGAATCATAGTGAAGTGTTAAAAACTGATGTAGGCCTATTGCTATAATCTAAATTTTTAGATCATGATTTGATGACGATGATTTATTATTTCAATTAGATTAGATCTAGATTACACTAAAAGATGCCATTCTCATTTCAACTTTCAACCCACTTGATGAAAACTCTGTTTTGACATGTCAAGTTAGATCTAGTATCTAGTATAGTAAATAACTCAGGTTTAAGAGCTATTGATTATGAGTAGGAAAATGAACAGGGCAGTGTATAGGCCTACTGACTAGACTTAGATCAAATTATAAGTCCCAGTTTCTGGTGCTTAATGGTAGGCTTACCCAAATCTGAAGAAATCTGTAACACTGTTATGGTAATGGTAGGAGGAGTTAAAAGCCGACTTTAGCCCTTATCAAATTGCTTACATCTGGACCCTTAGAGCTTGGTGGGAAGTAGATCTAATTAAAAAAATGAGGTAAACGATTCTATTTGAGGAGAATTTATTAGTTTATATTAATTAATAAAGGGAAAAGAATCACTCATTTAATAAACAAAATTTTTTTAAATAATTAAAAGTTACTTCGTTACAGAATTTGTATGGTTCTTTTTTCTTCGTTAAGGTTTTTTTTTTTTTTCGGATTTTTTTTGTCACACATAACTTAAAGAATATTAAATCTGACTGTAGCTACCCCTTTAACAACTAGTATTCCTACACCCAGCTTTGGTCCACCATCACAGCTCTCATCTCCACTATAACTTCGTTCACTGTTGTGATCTAGCTTCTCGCATTGGAAAAACACACATCACCACATTATAATTGACATTTTTATGCTATTGATGTTAAGACATAATTTTGGTATTGTTGAATTAGTTGAAAATATAAAATGATCGAAAACCGGCACCTATTCGTTGAATACTTTCGCTTGTTAAATGATTATTGCTTATTGAAGTAAATGGGTAGGTAAAAGAGGTTTGAAAAAAAGATAAGGGATCACAAAGATATCTCAAACATCCGGACAAAATGGGTATTGCACCAAATAAAAATAATTTTTACCTTTAATTTTAGTAGTACAAATGTATCAACACTTTATTAACACAATTACCTAATTGTGTGCATAATATAATTTATTATCTACCTATAAAGCAGTCAGGTCTGAATAAGTTTAGATCATAGATGCATTAAAAAACTGGAAAAAAATGCTATGATATTGTTCATTTCTATGAGGAAAGATGAATATTTTCTTTTAAAAAATTATTTACATAGGATAATTTTAAAATAAACAACATTCCATTAAGAAATTAAATTAATGACATTAACTGTAGGCCTAACTATTTTTTTTTTAATATCTAGTAGAAAATATTGATAGTGCCTATACTAATATCATTATTTTTTTTAACTAATTATAGATTATTTTTGTAAAAGTAGCCAAAGGTAGAGGTGCAATTTATGATTTTAAAAATTTCTTTGCTGTATTGTTATATATTTTACTCTTATAATTAGCAGAGCGTTACTAATGGCCAAACATAACTGTGGTGTTGCAAATCTTATTCTTATGTTAATTTAGCACTTATAAATGGTTTTCTTTATTGTTAAACTATATAAATCAAGTAATTATCCAATGTTGTTTCATATAAAATCCAATTGATTTATAGAAAACATTTCCAGTTCAAAATAACATTTATTTCAATTAGGCTTATTCTTTTTTATTCTAAATCTTAAATATAATTGAAGTAACTTTTTGTACTTAATTTTTTTTAGGTTGCTATTAAAATTGTAGACAAGACTCAACTAGATGAGGATAATCTAGGTAAAATATACAGAGAGATAGAGATAATGAAACTGTTGAGGCACCCACACATTATCAGACTGTATCAGGTAGGTTTCTCACTTGTTCAAAACAACTGTTATCATAAAAAGTCATTGTGTTCATCGCTAATTTCTTTCTGCTAAATGTATTTTTGTGTGCACATGTATACATCCTATTATTGTTTGTTTGGGTTTAAGGTACTTTACTATATTAAAGGATTGTTTGTGTCAACACTATTTTTGTTGCTGGTGGTAAATTAAGATTTAATTATTAATCAACCAGGTTATGCAGTCAGAAAGGATGTTATATTTAGTCACGGAGTATGCAAGCGGTGGTGAAATCTTTGGTAAGTTCATTTTATTTCACGAATTTCTTTTAATTTCCAACTTCCACAAACATACATTTTAAAATCTAGTCTCTCCTGTTATTTATTTTTATTTCTGGTTTTATTTTGGTTTGATATCCTTTTTCTTTATTAAAGTTTTAAAACTCCAGCATCATTATTTTGAAAATCCACCAATCTTTTATACCTATGGTAGACATTAAAATGAAAATGTTCTTCATTTATAAAGTTCCTTTTATCACCCTTCTAAAATAGATCATACTTCAGGTAAACACCATTGACACTCTAGGTCACGTTTAATTTAGACACTGGAAAATTACTTTGACCTACAATTGTGTATTTTCACAAAGACTTGAATATTTTTTAAAAATCGTCTTTTTATCATTAGCCTTTACCAAACCTCTTATCATAAATCTTTTGTAAAATAGAAACGTAAACCAAATGACTATGAAAAAGGCAACGTGTTTTGTAAAGTTATATAATGGCCTGAATAGAAAATTTGTAATGCTCTTTGTTGCTAATCATTTACTACCATCTTGTCCTGCTATGGCAAAGTATGTGTATTGATTTTGTCTAAATTTTATCCTTGCTTCAAACAAAGCTTTGAGAGAGATTAATGTCTCAGGGGTGATATTGTTACTGACATTTGAACTTGTGAGTTTTGTTACAATGTCTGATTTGTTTTCTTGGCTGTTTTTTTTTTATCACTTTGTTAGTTTAAAATATTATTGTATTACCAGTTTAACTTCTTTAGATAAAAGTGCGTCCTCTTCGCATTAAAACTTATGCTGGGTACTGATATCTTATTACCACACGACATCGGATTTATCTAGCTTTAGTGCTTGGTGTTGTTGACCTGAGCTGATGAAAATGTTTCCCTACATTGTGCAGGCTTGCAAGCAATTAGAAATTTTAAACCTCTTGATTAAATTTTTTAATACCCTCTGAAGTCAGGAAGTAGCCAGTCTAAAAAGATGAAACTTGTACATACAAATAATCATCTGTTCTACTCCATCTTTATTCGAATTTCTTCTCTGTCTTCATTTAGGATATTTGAAATTCAGATGTGGTCTTAATGATGTTTGGAGGGGTTATTAGTTGAACTAGATGTCATTCTACGAAACTGAAGCTATTCATTTTAAATGATGTATGGGAATTTAAAGTAGAGTAATGAGCTTTGTGGTTTACATGGAGGGGTGATCTATTAGTCAAAGCCTTCTACCAATTGTTATAAATTATTGTTGGTTTACGTCTTTGCTTAATTGCCCCTTTCTTTGTGCATTGCAAAGGTTTGCTATAATATAACTTTTGTTTCATTTTTTTGCGTATTATTGGTGATTTTAAAGCCAGCTTTAATACTAGAAATATACAATGAATCAATGACCTCTGTCTCCACCCATTCTGCGGGGAGGGGGGGGGGGGGTGGTTGAATTCCAAAGAGGCACGTGGCATAAAAACCTACTATAACGACCACAGGACCACTAAGCCTGTTTATGTTATCAGGACTTGTCATGTTTCTTCTCGTGTGCAAATGTGACTTGCAATTTTTAGCAGAATATCAATTGTGATGTTTGAACGCTCAGAGCGTTCTTCACAATTGCTTGTTAAATAACCACTTAGCTTTTTTTTTGCCTTTGGGGTGATTGCGTTCAAAACGATACAAGTACTGCAATAAACTAAACTTTGCCAACGGTGGAATTATTACAGCTTTAGTAACGATCGGGACGTTATTCGATGTGACAGTGGCTGGAAAACACAGCACGTAATGTTAACTAAGCCGAGAATGTATCTTATATCCTCAGCATATTGTTTGTTGAGTGCTTAAAGAGATTTGTCCAGGGTACACATTGATTAAATGGTTGGACGTTTAATTGCGCTGGGTTAAAGTTTTCTGGTACACGGAGCTGGTATTCTGAGACTACAAATGAGTTGGTTCTGTGCCATGATAGATTTTTTTTTTTAAAACAGTGCTGTTATCAGTAGCTGTGGACGGGGCGGTTACGGCCAGCGCGCCGTCTACAATAGAGGGATTAGCTTGGGGTACCTGGCGGGGGTCATGGACCGCGAGGGTTACATAAGTGATCCATGCACGTGGTGTCATGTGACCCGAGAACCCAGTGGCCTGGTTGGCGTGTACTTCAGTTGCCGGGGGGGGGGTGGAGGAGGGGGGGGGGGGGGGTTAGACCACCGGATGTCTGGAATCAGAAGACTGAGCATCTATCACTTAAATTGTTTAGACCGACTGTTTCAACTTCAGATCTTTGCTTCCGTAATTTCCGATATAGGTAAAAAGACACCCCCCCCCCTTATCGAACCTAACGGTCCATGGGGCGAATGACCTTGACATGAAGGGATAGTGCGGTCAGCACTTTGCCCATCCGCCTTTACTTTCCCCATGAGGGATGCTCTACCTGGATTCGAACTCTCGGGTTAGCTGCTAGCTAGCGCTCTACCACTCGGCCACGCTGTCCCATCGCCTGAAATAACGCCCTGTTTTATTTGAAGCCTTGACCAGCCTACATTATTAACCGCACATTTCAAATAACAAGCAAATCACCTTACAGTGCTAGGGAGGCTACACAAAAACCTAATTACAAATGGCGCCTCCTGTTACTTGAGTGTGGTGTAAGGTTGCCGTGATCTATAATATCCACGCTCCTCGGGGTAATCAACGATCGCTTTGTCTGACTCCTACCCGCTTCATTAAACAAATTATAGACAGCTATTTGAAATGTCTTGACTGCCAGATTACTACAATTCGCAAAGCTATTCATGAAAATTGTTCCACATGCGATCTCTTAAAAGGAGAATACTCGAAGTGTTTTTAACCTGATTTTAAGTCCGTCTTTTGCCTGGCAATGAAACGTTCTTACTTTTGTTTATACGAACGTACTGGTGAATGTGTTTGTTTGGCTGCCGATGGCTTGCACGTATCTGTCAGAGAGAGCCGCATTTTGATGCATTGCAACATACGGATGCATTCGTTGCTGTCACCAAGGCTACACTTACAACAACCTTACGTATTGTGTGCAAGGCAGGCGGTCTGGGCGCGTATAAATCCTATCGCCATAATGAAGAGATTCATTTCGACGCAATACCGCTGAGCTAATGAATTCTCTTCGAGCGCATTGCATTCTTCTCGAGATCAGCATAGAACTGTGGTTGGAAATATATATCTATATAAAATACACGTACTTAGTAACGAGGTGCAGATTCTCCTTTGCAGTTGAGTTTTTTATTATTTATGGCAGACATTACCATTGTACCTGTGGGCGAATTCGTGTCTTTAAAAGTATCTAAGATCATGGACTGTTGTACAAGATATTCTAAATATAAAAAAAAAGTATAAAGTTGTTAAAAGAAAACTAAGACTATTGAAAATATTTGACGTATAATTTTGTTACCTATGTACTAGTTTCGTGTTTGTCACTTTCAATGCCATTCACCTTTTACATCTGTATCTACCTAGTGGATATAATGTTGTAAATCAGAACATGGGCACTTACTAAATCTGTACGCACGGTTATTTTATACCTACATATTGTGATCATCAGTTGTGTGTTTTAGCACACTGGCACATGCATTTGGCAATACTGCCCTAAAGCCGCACGTTAACAGCAGACAGGACCTGCGTCATAATCGATCTCCCCCAGCAACACGTGACCCCCGCTCCACGTGTACCTGGGTTTCTGATTGACTAGTCGACCGTTTAATCTCTGGTACCAGCCGGCGTTAGTTCCCCAACCTTTCGTCTTTATTGGTCGACTGGTACGCTAATGACTAAGCATGGAATGTTTCACTCTATGCCGACATAAAAAACAACCCCAGGTCGGGACTTGTCAGAGTGCAGCCTACAGGCGTTTTAAATATCTTGTCATCAGATCAGAGAAGTTGCTTGCACGGCTGATTTATAATCGTCTGAAAGGAGTTAATCGTCCGAGGGACGTGTCGTGTAACGCAAACAGCGCAGACTACAGTGGCAGGGACATTGCGTCCACCCCTATGAGCATGCGCCTGCTTGTTTGAATGCTGACTTCATTATAATACAAACTTGGCAGTATCAATCAACCACATATTTTACGTGATTAAGAGATCCAAAGTTCGACTGTGATAATTGTTTTCTTGAGTTTTATTACTCACGTACTTTGTTTACATGTATAATTTAAAACAAGAAAAAGTATCATAGGTGGGGGTGGGGAGTCGCTTTATTGCCTGAATATTTATTATTGTTGATCGGTTATGTTTGAATATTTTTGCTGGTATTTGTCTGGGGCGGGTGGTAATAGTAAGAATAAACTTTATTTTATAGCGATAACAATAGTAGGTAACAGTACAGGTGTCAAAGCTTGAAGTGGTCTGTGCAGGGCAAAATAATAAGAGAAGCAGCTAGTATGATGCGGATGTTCTTCTGTGATGGGAAGCTATTCAGTGTTCAGCAAACGTAAAGTAATAACTCTCTAATATACACACCTTGTCAGTTAATGTGTGGTCTCAGCTCATATAGCCTGTACAACTTTTTAAAACTTTGACCAAGGCTGTACATCCTACGTCTTATACGTTTGTTATTATTTATTTTTTTTTGCTTATCTGTATATCTTAATAATGTCTGCCCTCTTTATTTGTGCACTTAGCGGACAATTACCCTTAAATGCATCTAATCACATGTCTTCACGAATGAGTGAGATTGCAAACTCCGTTCTGATAGGGTTTTTTTTTCCTTCAGTTGTACCGGCTCTTTCATTTAGTTAATACCCAACGTATCCTGCCTCCCCCACCCCCTGTAATGGCCGCTGATTAAAATCGTTATATTGGCTTGTTGAACAGAAGCATTAAAGGAAACACTTGTATTTATATGTATAGTGCTGTAGCACGCGAGTTTACACCACGTGATAGCTAGTCTACTGTCAAAACGTTTAATTGGTTTATTTTACCACGTTATTCTCGAAACATTGGCTTGTTGATTTTCAGTCATTGTGTACAAAGATATAGATTCTAGATATTTA